GAAAAATTCAAAAATGCAATTACATTGATTTTTAAATTGATCGACATTATATGTTCAATTTTTATGTGTGACAAATCCAGACATCTTAACTAGCATTTTATACAAGTAAAATTGATTGATAATATTCAGAATTTTAAAAAATATTTATAGACAAATTTTTCTAAATGTATCTCTCTTGAAAGATTTGTCTATATAAAAAGTTATAAGTATTTAAGGATAGAGTATTTTTTTTCAAAAAACTGGAAAAACAATATGAACACAATGAAAAGCAAGAAATTAAAAATAAATACAATAAATTAAATCAACACAAAATATTAATAATATAAAATTAATAATAATATAATCTTTTATTATAGCAAGTTAATAACAAGAAACACAGCAAATTGATAACAATAACAAATTAATAACAAGAATATAACAAACTGATAATAAAAAGTATAACAAATCAACAAAGAAAAATATAAATCAATAATAAGAATTAGTAACAAATTTAATCACCAAACCAAGATAAAAACCAATAACAAATTCAGCTAACAGATCAATAACAAGAAACACAACAAACTGGTGATATTTAATTATAAAAAACATAAAATCAATAACAAGTATTATAACATACTGGCAACAAATTCAATTACAATAAATATGTAATAATATAATGAAAAAAATAATTAAAGAAATTATTACAATTAATCATGTTTTGTTGATTTGATTGTATTGATCACATTTTTGTTTGGTTATCAATTGTTTATTTTGTTTTGTTTAATGAAATTTGAAAGACTAAAACTCAAATTTACACTAAATTATTTAATGCTTACATATCAATTACTGTTTATAATTATTTTTAATTGACGCAATATTGGATAAAAAAGATATACTTTACAGATCTATCAATCAACAAACAAACATCAAACAAAAACGTGCTTCACAATTTCCCGAGCAAATGTAACAGTTTCTTGGATACTCGCGCTGATTTTAGCCTTATCATACAAAATATCGGATCCCACAGTCCAAGCAAAAGCTTTCCAAGAGAGGTGTTTAAGTTTGATGGTATCCTCTTTGAAAATTTCTTGTTTTGCTTCTTTGAGCACGGAAATGAATGATATTTGGAATTTATCATTCCTATATTGATGATAAAATCAATATTATTAGTAATATTAATGATCTAAATGAATAAAAAATAAGACTTACACATAACGCTGCTTTGTGACTCCTTGTATGATAGATTCAACATTGATTTTCCCGTTGAAATCTCTCTCTCTAAACCACCTCTCGTCTCGTAATTGTAAGCCTTGACGCTGGAGATCAGTAATTACTTTTGTATGTTTCATGCTGATAGGATGCTCGTGACCAGTTTTTAGCAAGAAGCGAAAGTCGGGCGCGTCTGATCCAGAAATCACATCAAGTATTGCTTTACGGCGTTGTCCTCTTGCACACTTTGTGATCTTCCAAACGCCTATGTATTATTTATTATAAACATAAATAGTTATTTGAAAAAAGGAAACAAAAAGCATTGCGAGAAAAAACTTTTATTTAACCTTCTTCCTCAAACCAATGTAATTTGAGTTTACGTCTATCCCATTTATCATCATCATCATCATAATAATAAATAGAAGTACTTAGTTTTTTTGAGTTATTGGTTTCTTTTTCAATTGAACTAAACCCGTATTTCTCATTGATCAAATCGATCTTTTCAAGAATTCGCGGAGCATTGTGCTGAAACGAGGTACTGGTCCTAGATCGATCCATTGCACACCATTCATTAATACTTATTTCTTTGTCGACGATATTGGAAAATAGTTGCCGACCAAAGAATATATTAATTCGGACACTTTTTGTCTCAATTTGAGACGGATCAGATTTGCGTACAAAATTACTGATTTCACCAAGAAAATGCCGAATTATATCGGTAGTATTAAAGACTTGAGATCCCGAAGGAAAAACATTTGACACAGATAATTTTGCGATAGCGGATGTTAGATCAACATTGCCGTCAGTATTTTCTGAAGATTTTCCTTTTTCTTTTTCATATTTTTTTTTGGCAATAATATGTTCAAGGTAATAAGTGATACGATTACGCGAGTGAATATTCGCGTCTTGACCACGATATTCTCTGAATCGAATTTTGCTTTGCTTGATATCCATCGCTTCGTTATCAATTTCCAATAGCACACATCCTATGTCAGGATAGAGTTGATGCGATTCTTTACTCATTATTTCTTGTATCAATGTTTTAGCTTGGGCACGTTGTGAGGTTGTGCCTTTGATTAGTGCAACGCCATCCTTTATGAAAACATGAGCACCGGTTTCTTGCCTTTTTATTCGAAAGTGAACATTTATTTATATACAAAGACGAACAGTGTGTAATTACAACAGTAATACTAGTACTAATACTAATACTAATAATAATAACAACCACAACAGTAATAATCATATGTTAAATAAAAACCTGATTTTTTTAATATTGGAACCACTGCGTCCAATCACTGTTCCCACCCTTTCTTCTGGTATAGAAACACGCTCTTCATAAGAGTGATTTCGTGAAAAAGACATGGTCTGATATAACAATCCTTTCTACAAGATTAAACCACATTATTATATCTGAAAATTAAGTCATGTTTGATTTGCCACAAGTTGGATTATTTTGACGCCAACGCCGCATCGCGCCATTTGCACACGTCCTAAAATTTTATTTGAAGGACGTGCACTATAATAATTTATGTGCACAATGATATACAAATTTTAAATTACATATATAAATCACATGACTTTAGTTAGAGGCAAAAGTTACGATCTGCGCAGTAAAGCAATATTTTTAGAATATAGAAAGCAGTTTCACAGATATAATCTTGAGATACAAGCTATTTTTCAAAAATAAACATTTGTTTTGAATTTTTCCAATACATATTAATCTTACAATTTGATTGATTTATCTCTTATAAATTGTATTGATCAGACAAAAAATTCTGGATATTATAAAAATGACTTTATTGCTTTACTACGCAGAAGCAGATCCATTAAAAAAAGTAATCGCAGTTACTTTTTTGATGGATCTGCAGGTACTCAAATTGCAAGATAAAAAAATTCAAAACAAATATTTATTTTTGAAAAATAGCTTGTATCTCGAAATTATGTTTATGAAACTGTTTTTTATATTCTAATGAAAAATATTTTTTGCCAAATTTTACTACAAATTCTTATGTGCAATATACTTAAAATGTTATTAATATTTTGATTATGGATATGATTAAGATTAGAATCAGTATATAAGTTATATTGGATATGAGAAATATATGTAAAATTTTATAATATTTTTTATTAAAACATAAAAAACAGTTTTATATATATATAATTTGAGATACAAGTTATTTTTCAAAAATAAATATTTGTTTTGAATTTTTTTATCTTGCAATTTGATTAAATAAAAAAGCAAACTAAGATAATTATAAAGAGATGTGATTATAAATGAATGTGATTATAGAGAAATTTGATTATATTGAAATTACTTGAAATTTTAATATATTATATAATACAATAGTTAACAGAATTGTGGAATTACATGTGTGATTTTATTAATAAAATATAGTAAAAATTAAAATTTTTATC